CTTATTTTTGAAATCTCAGTTTTTGCATAAGAAATTGAATTTACTGCATTCAGAAAGAAAACTCATTCTCGCCAACGCATCAGCAACCGCAGCGTTGCAAAGGCAAATCTCCCAGAACACCACCAAATATACCGCAGATGTGCACCACTCCTCCGCTTCCCTTATTCGGAGTGCAGCAAACGAATTCTCGCAGGTAGGATTAGCTTGATTTTGACACAAATTGGCTTTTTTTTTCGAACAATATCGCAGTTGTATTTTAGCCCTCATACATTGACTACCAGTCCCTTGTCGAATTGTGTGCCAGAATTATCCAGTTGTTTCAATTCATGCAGTCCGCTAGAAGCACAGCAAATGTTTCTTCAAGATTTGTAAGCTGCTTTGATTTGTTTTGGTCAAAAAATCGCTTATCGAAGCATGCTTTAGACATTCCACAACGTTTCCCACTGCCGATTTGACTCAGATAATTCCGCCGGATATGTGTAAGTAGTCTCCTCTGCTGTTTTTGTTCTACATTTGTTGATGTGAACTTTTTAGCACTAGAATCTTGGATGACATGGTTGGCAGCAAATCCATCTTATATCCCATCGAATATCCCACTCACTGATCCCTTATCTATACTAACGGCCGGCAGTGCTGGAGCTCCTAGACCACCGGTTGAGATCCCCCAGCAGCCACGTTTCCACTATACCCGTGGCCCTCGCAACAAACGTCGCTCCAACCCACAGAAGCAACCCTCGCCTCGAGCAGCAGCACCGCCTTTGTCTTTCAGCCCAACTGACTTTCCGCCATTGCAGTAAGTTGCATATCTGGAGAAAATGAAAAGAATTTTCTTTCAAATGGCTGCTCTTTAGTAGCATTATTCCACATCTTTTATGTCTGATCAGAAATGTTCAGACTTGCTTGTCCAAAATGTTTTATATCCGCTTTCACTAGTACAACAGTTTGAACTACAATTACGGTAACATCGACATTCTTTTGATCTCTTTCTGTCTCTGCTACTATGAGCCATTGATATACTAGATAAACACAATCTAACACCCGAAACATTGTGATTTAAATTCGGTCGCTTTTTTACCGTACGTGAATACGTACTACAGCCTTTCAGAGCTGGTGGTTCGCCATCGCCTTCGAAGTTTATTATGTTGTTTCCATGTGCTCAATATGTTTTGTATGTGTATGCTTTGAGAAGGAAAATAAATTTGAGTAATTTTATTTGGTGATAGAATGATGCAGTTTCGAAAGTATACACAGCAATCGTTTTTCAATGCAAGAATGTGAGTTTTCGAGCGGACAGTTTGAGATTAGATTTTTTTCTTCGTTACAGAATGCTATTTCCGAAGGAACAATGACTTCTTTTGGAATCAGTGAAACTTCCCGCTATTTCTACTGCAGAATACATGCTAAAAGGAAGTTTCTTTGTTAGTACAGTTAGACCTTTCCTTTTTTTT